AAAATCTGGGGATTTTACATATAGAGGTCCTCAAACCATATAATTTACAGATAAAGGCTTCCCAAACATTGTCCTCCTCACGATTCCATCTTCTCCTTCTTCGGCTTCATTCCTTTCTCGTTGTCTATCGGTCGGCGCGGGAGTGGAGACTTTCGGTCCAGGAGCATTGCCTTCTGAGCTCAAACAAGCATAGCAAAGAGAGGCAAAGATGGAGAAGGGCTGCGCGAAATATCAGATATTTGAAAGAGAGGAGAAATGAATGGTGCTGCCATCTCTGAAATAACTGATATTTGAAAGGGTGGGGTGAATGGAAGCATGCTTCCTTGCTAACTGAATACTGATTGAAAAGCCAACCGGAATGGTAAGTTCAAGCCTGTAAGAAGAATCGGAAGAAACGAATATAGAAAATGTATAGATTATTTGATCTTATCTTTTCTAACAAGAACATACTGTCCAAGAGATGTTTGAGGAGATGTTTGAAGTGATGTGAGTGGAGGTGGAAGGGAGGGAAAAGAGGAACCGAAGCTCTGCATGAAGAAGACGGAGGAGGGTGAGCTTGGCCAGCGTGGAGAGCTTGGACAGCGGGAGGAGGGAGCTTCCAATTAGTTCTTGCAGCGAGAGACAGCGGCTCTTCGTTTTCTCGGCGTTAGAGGATGGTTGGAAAATGGCATCGGAGAAGGAGAAGACGGAGTTCTGAGGAGTCATGATGGAGTCCTTCACGAGTAAATTAAATATTTGGGAGCCTTTACATGTAAATTGCATGATTTGAAGACCTCTATATGTAAAAACCAATAAAAACTTTTATTTATTTAATAATCATCTATTTTGAATTCAATGCTTTTCCCGACAATATTTGGATGAAATATCCCCACATTTTCATTCTTTAACTCAGTAATATAGCTAAGGTTGGGAGTTTAGCTCAAAATTCAAATTTATTTTTGGCTATAATGAAATCAAATAATCTTTACTTGCTTGGAATGATGCAATAATGAGTTGGCACTGAGATAGATATGCAACACAACATCAATCCACATGATCATCTTTAATAGATTTGCTCTCAATATGTGCTCATTTTAAAAATTGAATTGTAGATATATAGCTAACCTCTTTTACTTAACTGAGTCAAAATGCTCCAACACAAATGATTTTAAAATTGAAGCGACTTCACTCAAAATAACATGCTACAACATATGAAGTTCAATAATTATCTTTGTTCTCCTAACAATTCATCCATCATTGCAAACTATAAGAACTTTAGAATCATTTAAGAATCTAAATCTAGCTTGGCTAAGAGCTCTCAAAGATATTAGAATCTTCTTAAACTAGAGAGCATTTTTTAGCGTGATTAATATCCCAATCACATTATATATCTTCAAATTCCATGAAAAACCAATTGTCTTACCCATTGCATTGTTTGCCATATATCTATGGCCACTAGAATGTAACTAATAAATGTAAAATAATATCTTATGATAATACTAGTATAAAAAAGGCAAGTAGAATCTATCGATGATTACATTACTATGACTGTCATCAAAAGAAAATCACCTAGATTTGTACCTAACCACCCTATGGTTATAACCGGCATATTGTTCCTTCTCAAAACTTGACAATTTCTCAAAATATTCTTTGTCTTTTGGCATTGAAGAAAGCCACGTCCTTGTACCTACAAAAAATATTTACTTCCACCATAATTAGAAGTAGATCTATTCTAAATAAAAAATTAAAAAAAATCCTACTAATCAAAAATTCCATGGCCTACATTTCATCTCCATTCTATCGAGCTGAACATTCACACCCTTAGAAAAAGATGAACATCTGTTAAGCTAATCATATAACTACCATACTACATCATATCAAGAAAAATGCTTATAAGACGAAAGTGAATAGCACATAATTAACAAAGCATGATCCTATCTACCATCACATATATATTTCGTAAATCCTTAATAATAAAATTAAAAACAATGATATGTGATTTTATGTATGTATCTTCTTACACATGCACCAAGTATAATCTCTACTACTAATAAAGTTTGTTGGAGAGGCCTTTGGTTATATAAAAAGACTACAGCTTAAGTCACAACCCTTTTACAATTGTTTCTTCCATAACCACCATCAAAACGGCCTTTCACAATCATAAATACATTATCGGAAAGTGTTTTCATACATCTCATCCAGTTGATCCAGAACCTCAGGCATATTCTAGCACCCTATAAGTGTTTTCATAAGTAACTATTGGGTCAACATACGATTGTTGGAGAGGCAGTTTCTCTTCATTTTCTTTTCATTTATCATTGAAGAAAGCTTCAACCTTGTCCCTGCTGGAAGTAGATATATTCTAAAAAATAAAAATCCTACTAACACACACTTGCATGACCCACATTTCATCTTAATTCTTTTAATTTTAGCAGCCACATCTCTGGAAATAAGTGAACATCTGTTGAGCTAATCATATAACTACCATAATACATCTGTCAAGAAAAATGCTTATAGGACGAAAGTGAAGAGGACACAATTAAAAAAGCCTGATCCTCATCACCCACACAAATATATTTAGCAAATCCTTATAAATAAAATTAAAAACATTAATATATGATTTAATGGGTCTCTTCTTACACATGCAACACATATAATCTAAGTTTCTACTACAGATAAAATTTCCTAGAGAAGCTTTTGGCTATGTAAAAAGACTCTAGCTTGAGTCACGACCATTCTATGGCTGTTTATTCCATAACCTCCATCCAAAACTCCTCTACCAAACAAATTTAGGTTATCCAAATGGTGTTTTCATCCATCTCCTCATCTACTTCACCCATCGCCTGTTTTCATCCATCGCCTCAGCTACCCCACCCATAGCCTTAAGCATATTCAAGCACCCTATGAGTGCTTTCATAAGTCATTGTTGGGTTAACATATCAGCTAGAAACTGATATGATGAACAGATGATGCAATAGCAAGGAAATCAAGAAAAATTAAACGCACCAAAATTTATATGGTTTGACCAAATAATGGCATGAATTGTGGTGTAACTAAGATTAAGATGACTATAAGCCTTGTAGATTCCAACTTGATTAATTAGTTGTAAGCTAAGGTCAACAAGCAAAAATTGAGCCATCACTAACTTGATTTGTTAGTCCATGTGTCGATACATTTAGAATATTAATATAGATTGTACATAAGAATATTAGAAGGTTTTAATTATAAGTTATGAAAAATAATAAAAATCCCAATTCCACTTCCCAATCTTAATTTCTCATTCACACTCTGTTAGCTTATTATTCTTTGCATAGTTTCATTGCCACAAGTTCTCATTTTATATTTAGTTCTTCACTTTTATAAAAAAATCAAGCCAACTTGTGAGCCAACTAGAATTTGTTTAATTAGCCAAACTCAAGCCCAAGGTTGAGGTAGCTTACGCTTCACTCAGTATATTTAGACCGCTAGGCCACATACGTGGAAAATGAGAAAGAAATTGATCTACTATCAAGAAGCCACATAGTTATACAAACTAACAAAGCCAAAAAATGTTATTCCTCGAACTCAAGTACTCCATCCACCAAAACGATAAGCCAAAAATCTACAAAACCAAACAAACAAGACAACATCCTGATATATTCTAAGAATATAGGAACCATACAAAAGAAATAATTAACCTAAAAGATATAGACTACAAGGAATCTCAACTTGAATACTCCTTGAAAAATGCACCAAACAAGTTTTCTTGCTCTTTTTTTTAATATATTTCTAAGCAATAGCTAGCCCCAACTCCCAAGCACAACCCAGCTTCTTTTAGCTTATTCATATCCAAGAACAAATTAAAATTTGTGTTTATCTTGAAACCATATACTTAAGATTTTGTGATTATCCTAAAAAATTTATTGAGTTAATATCCTAACACTTTTTAAATTTCTTCAAGTTTTGATTCTTGTTACATGTCACTCCAAGGCAATTGGCATGATAAAAGACTATATAATCCTTAACATTTGAAATAATATAACCCATATCACCAAGGAAAACAACATTACTATTTCACTATATGGCACATTTAGGCAAGGCACACTCCTACGAATCACTTGATAGCGACAATCATCCGCAGGTGTACAAGGCACTATGACCTTGCCTCACCAACTAAGCCATATTTTGTAATTAAACGAGTATTTGAAACTACAATTATGAAATGCTCATATTTATTGCATTAATTATAATTTCATAAGTAAGGGTCATATTTTCAACACAATACTTTCTAAATCACCAAATTTAGCCCAAAAAGGAATAGAACTAAATAACCTTTGCAACTAAATTACATTCTATCTTAAATCTCTTGATAATCATATCTCAACTGATTCTTCTGATTTTCCACACATGTTTCAAATTGAACAACTAATAGTTGTGTCCCCATTAAATCTCTACATCAAGAAACAAATATAGCTGTCTTAAGATTTAGAAGTTATCAAGTCCGAGGGAAACCAATTCATTAATCCGTTACCAAAATCAAAGTACCACTTCTTAAAAATAAAAACTTTTTTCATCTATTCAAAATAGGGAAAACAGGTTGTCAAAAAAGGAGAGAAAATGCAAAGACATTTTTTACATCCAAGCAAAAACAAACCTTATTAATTATGCATTCATGCAAGTATAAAATACAACAAAGGGCATTCTAATAGAGAAAGATAGATAAATATATAACTCATACAGTCGCATAGACATGCAGTCAACAACCACAACTAGTACTCACTAAATCCAAATGGAAAAAAAAACATTCTTTCATTTGCAAAATCTATTCTTTCTTGCAGGCAAACACTCTGCTAAGCATCAAAATAGCTTTGCCAAATAATCGACAACAAATTAAACAGGAAAAACAAAAACTCAATAAGAACAAATGTTCAATCCTGCAATTCTCTCCTCTTCGAATTTGTTTCGGGAGAAGCGAAGAGACCTCCATTAAGTTCAATACGTCTGAACTACAAAAAAAATAAAAATAAGGTTCAGATCGGCACCTGCCAGACCCGGCGAAGGCGCTTCTTGGCGTTGTTCTTGCGGGTAGTTGTGAGCTTTATCTTCTTCCAGAGCAGGCCCGGCGAATCGTTCCTCCTCACGATGGCCAGCACTCGAGTGCCCCATAACGCTCCAAACCCTCCCATGTCTCTTTCCGCCTGCTCGAGTAATTCGTAAAACCCCTTCTTTTTTGTGAGGCAAGCGACCCTGTCGTCACGATTTCACTCCGAAGAAAGTATGCCAGATCAAATTTGTAAACATTAGTTAATAAATAAATTTGATTTTTTTTAAAAAAACATGAACTTTAATTGAATTAATTTGAATATCATCTAATTTATTAATCAATTACATTATCACATTCATTGTATAATATAAAAAATTTGTATTTTCACAAACCTCGGTTTACTCAATACTCAATAAATATTTTAGGTCTTTTCTAATATTTTAAAATTCAGATTGAATCGGTCTATTTAATTTGATTGATCATGAACCAATTAATGATCTGATTCGAGCTTCCAATTGAATCTTTTATGTGTCGAATTGTTCTAGAGTGTCTAAAACCAAACAAGTAAATCAGTTATAGTTTGCTAGAACTGTGCAGACACAGTGTCGGGTGATGCCTGAAATTATTGTGAAACAAATGTGTCAATCGCATAAGTATCGTGTCGATCAAATAATATATGAATTATGAGTTCAAGTACTGATCCAACAACAACAACAACAACAACAAAGCCTTAATCCCACTACGTGGGGTCGGCTACATGAATCCTTTTTCTCCATTGCATCCTATTTAGTGTCATATTTTCATTTAGTTCTAGTAAATTTAGATCATTTTTAATACAATAAGCCCAAGTCTTCCTAGGTCTACCTCTGCCTTTCTTAACACGAGTCGAATTTAAAACATCTACTCTCCTAATCGGATCATCTAATGGTCGACGTTTAATATGACCAAACCATCTAAGACGACTTTCTCTAATTTTGTCTGTCACAGGAGCTACACCAACCCTATCACAAATATATTCATTCCGCATTTTGTCTCTAAGTGTAAAGCCACTCATCCACCTAATCATTCTCATCTCGGCAACA